TGGCAAATTGGAGATTTATTGTTGCCTTATCTAAACCACAGTCAACATTTGAGATTCCTTGTTGAGCTTTTCCACCTATGGAAAAGTTCCAATGTATGAAACTTCTCCATCCATTCCATGCTTTCCTCTTACCTCCTACAGTTTTAAGAACAGAGGCCAGGATGAACTGTGGTTCGATTTGTGTGTATGTGTGTGTGTGTGTGTGTGTGTGTCTTTCAATCTCTATGAAGCTTTTCACATGTTGTCGCTGGTATCCCTGTTTGTTTTTCCCTCCCAAGCTTACGCAAAAAAGGCAGATACTTCTTTTGGCAGTAGATAAATCTCAGCAAACCCTAATGCACATGTTGATGAGGAGCATGGAAGTAGTATATAAATGCATCAGGAATCTGTTTGGGTATTAGACATGCTTGATGTTGTGCCCATATGTCTGCTTATTTCCATACTAAAGACATTTACTGTATACATTGGTCACCAGGGAAAAGGGCTGTCTACTATTCAGCAGTATTACTGGAAGAGCAGTATTGTATTTGTATTCGGTGGAGTCTTCCGTTTCCAGTAGATGCACAGATCTTCATTCTGTAGCCCGCATCCCTGAAAGAGTTCCTCAGACTATCTTTCACCACCCGGCCAATTAGTGAATCCTTCTCTGCAATACGTAACTTGCTACAGTCGAAGCAAAGAGACTGCGGATCGCTCTCAGCAAAGTGAGTGATCATTAACGGCACCGAGGCTGGATAAAGCTTACAAATGAACAGCTCTAAGTGGAGCTGCAAATGCAGCAGCTTTTTGTAATTCAAATGAAGCTAATAGCATGGGAACAAATTGCGGTTCATATTAGATTAACTTCTTCGGAAAGATATAAATTGAGGACAGTTAAGATTGCCTGGAGCTGGGCTGACCAATGAAGGGAATGCTTTGAAATACAAGATATTCCAGGAGGTGGGAATAAGGGGATAGAAAAGCAGGCAAAACAATTTCTTCATTATTCAGGACAAGTCACCCAGCTTTGGTTTCCCGCAATTTCTCTGAATTAAGAAAAGGCCAAACACCATCAATTATAACTATATCATCATTTTCCAAACCATCTCAGAGAGAAACTGGCTTTGGTCTGGCAGGGCTCTGCATTTGTTTTTCACAAAGAGGTGAGCAGATTGATGTATTCCCCTCTTTCATAGGCAACCAGTAATAGGATCCCTGTGGATTCTACCTTCCCAAACAAGAATGCCTAATTAGGGTCTCTTAATAGTGACAAAAGAAACAGATCCAGAACAGGTTTCCAACTTACTAAGGGGCTACAGGGTAGACAAAGAATCTGCAAAAATCCCAGTAAGCGGATAAGGGAAACATACTTAACATCCAGTAGGATTTGATAAAATCCAGGGATTGGGCAGACAGTCCCGAGAAAGAATTCTGGCTGAAACCTGATTAGAGAGATCCATAACTGATCAGTGAACATATGATTGAATGGAATAATGCAACTTTTTATATTCCAACCAAAGATACTGGGAATGTGGCCTTTTGAGCCCTCCCAATCAAAACCAATTTCTATATATTAAAGGTAAAGTAAAGGTAAAGGTTCCCCTCACACATATGTGCTAGTCGTTTCCGACTCTAGAGGGCGGTGCTCATCTCTGTTTCAAAGCTGAAGAGCCAGGGCTGTTTGAAGACGTCTCTGAGGTCATGTGGCCAGCATGACTAAATGCCAAAGGTACACGGAATGTTGTTACCTTCCCACCAAAGGTGGTCCCTATTTTTCTATTTGCATTTTTTACATACTTTCGAACTGCCAGGTCGGCAGAAGCTGGGACAATTAACGGGAGCTCACCCCGTTATGTGACACTAGGGATTCGAACTGCTGAACTGCTGACCTTTCGATCGACAAGCTCAGCATCTTAGCCACTGAGTCACCGCATCCCTTCTTCTATATATTAGGGCAGCTGCAATTTTCAGGTATCCAATTAAAGAAAATCAGCTTGGTTCTCTCATTACGGCCCTTCTACTGGTAGGGAGGGAAAGAGATATTTCTTCAGATTTAAACTGGGATGTCTACCAAGATGTTTCTGCATTTTATTAGGAAAGGATTGGGGTCTTCATAAAATAAAATTCTGACTTTTTCCCCCCAGGGTTGAATGTAGCATTTGAAGGATTGCTTACCTAATTTATCCCAGTAACAAACCTGTAAAGAAGGTTTGGATAAGAAAAACTGATTGGCTTGAAGTCATCCAATGGACTTCTGTGGTTAGCATAGATTCCTGTTCCTAATTCACCTCACTAATTACTATACCACATTGTCTAGGTTTTCAATTATATATTAGTTGTGTTTCAATGCATTTAATAGAAGTAATGAAAATTGCATTATGTTTTTTTATAACATTTTGTTGCCTTTTGGGCATTTTTGGTGAAAAAGCAGAGCATACACAGTACATTCAATATATTAAAACACAACCAGACCTTCAAATCTGCATTATGATAATTTTAAGAGTGGTGTTTTTGTTTAAATTAGTTGCCAAAGTTGGATATCTTTCAAAGGTTCACAAAGTCTAGAAATCCTCTTTCACTCTCTCTGGACTACTTCATCCCTCCAGTCCAGTGACCACTTGAATCAGTCTCGAGAAAGTTAGCCAGGTAGGGTTTTCCTTTGTTGGTTTTGCCTACTGTTAGCAGCATCTATAAATTGACTCTAAAGGAAGATTCATTAAAGCTCAAGCAGAAACCCCCGTGGCAGGTTTCACTTGTTCTGAATGCAGGATCTGATTCAAAAGCTGAAAGACTACATTACATGCTAGTGGTCACTAAACTGATTAAGAGCTGGTTTATCTTTAGCACTAAAAAGGGCTATCTGCTAATACTAAATACCATTTATCCAGCTCTGATTTGCCCGAATGAATATTTATGCCAAGTGATGAGTACAGCACTATCAAATAGGTTTTTGCTCTCTGTTCTTCAGAGCTGCAGCGATTATTCAACCACATTATTCTGGGATTCAATTCTTGTTTCTATTAAGCAAATCTGCAGTGTTCACACAAAAATTCACGATTGCATTTTTATTCTGGATTCCTTTTTTGGGAAAAAGAAGATGTCTTTATTTTGTACCTAAGAACGAGCAGGCAGCTTTAGTTGGTACTTTCTCATATATTTATGACCGTGTTTATATAAAGTCTGTTCTGATTTTTTTAATGTAAAATTCTGGGTGTTTTGTTGCAGCTTCTATAAAAACAGATCATAATTCTTTATGATCTCTCTCTCTCTCTCTCTCTCTCTCTCTCTCTCTCTCTCTCTCTCTCTCTCTCTCTCTCTCTCTCTCCTCTCTCTCTCTCTCTCTCTCTCTCTCTCTCTCTCTCTCTCTCTCTCATGAAGTTAAAAAAATATCAAGCATTAAAATGATGTTTTAAAAAACCATTAGCACCGGTACAATAGAACTGAATTCAGTTCCAAATTGAAAGAGGCAAAGCACAATAGAATGGAAACGGCATTTGCATAGGAGCTTGCGTGGTACAGATGTTAACAAATGATTGCCTGGACTGTAAGAGAGCTAGAATGTAGCTCCAAACTCCAAATGTTTAACTGTTCATGTGTGTACTCCAAATCTTCTCTCTTTATTGCTGATGCTTGGGGTTGGAGTTGGGAGAGGAATCTAATAAAACAGACAAATAGTCTAGAGACAATATAAAAATTGCTTGGTGGCTTAAATCTACGGTGTTTCGATTTTGGATATCCTACCCCTGGCATGATTTGGGATTAGCACCACTTGAGCGGCTGTTTCCGAGTCAAGAAGAAGATATAGAAGCCCAGCAAAATACTAGGATTCCCCATCAGATTTTAACTGGCTCATGAATTTGTATGGTGAAGCAGAAGGCTCTGGGTAGCTCCATATAGGACACAAATGCTGATTTCGTGAATAACCAGGTCACACAATTCCTTTAAAAAAAAGCAATTGGGGACCAGGCAGAAAGACATTATAGGACAGGGATGGCTAACCTTTTCCGGACCGAGTGCCCAAAGCGCACACCCCAATCCCCAAAATGCAATGCGTGTGCATGCACCCCACCCCCTGTGCATATGAGTAGTCCCCCTGCCCGTGCCCTACCCCCATGCATGCGTCCGTGGCCCCTGCCCCCTGTGCATGTGCATGCCCCCCCACAGTGCCCTGCCCCCCCACGCATACATGGCAGACAACCAACTGGCTGGTGAGAGGTGTGTGCGCATGCGTGGCAGAGCTGAACTGAGGCCACAGCTTCTGTGCCCACAGAGAGGGCGCTGGGTGCCACCAGTGGCACTTGTGCCATAGGTTCGCCATTACGGTTATTGGACATTGGATTGGCAGTGTTACTATTACGGCCTTCAACATGGTCTACTGTAGCTATCTCCCTTCTTGGCTCCCCCAGGGTTAAAGCAGTGCCAACCTTTCAGATTTTAGAAGGCCACTAGGATCTGTTGTTCTGGATGTTTGGGAGGAATAAAATGGATATTCTGCTCCTTTTGTAGGTTTTTTTTCTTTTGTTAATATCAGAGAGTGTTTCCTTACTGCAGTGGGATAAATTATTACTAATGCTGGCATTATGTGCTGTTTCAAAGCTTATGATAAAGTATATGCTGCTTAAAGACTGAAGTGGTTTATTTGCCTGAGTAACAAAGAGAAGAAAATATAACCATTTAGAAATAAACAATTCCGATCCCACAAAGATACTGTGTGTTTCACATCTGAATGAAGACGACCATTCTTCTGCTCTGAACTTTGCTTCTAATTGTTCCAAGGGTGGTTTTTTTTTTTTTTAACATCAGCAGTATAATTTAAAAGGCAGTGTGTGTAATCATTGTTGCTCTTGTTAATCAGTTGCAAGTCACCAATTTTTGCAAGTTTACTGAAAATTGCCCGAAGTCTTCCAGTTGTTCTGCCTCTACTGTCTGCCAGTTTTTATTCTAGATGGATAATTTAGGGTGAGCTGTGAGTGATTGTTGTCTTTCCATATAAACAAAAAAGAGTTTTAGGATGGCCAGGAAACATTCATAATTTTTAATTCACACCTGTAATAAAATTGCATTACATTTTTCATAAAATAAATGTTCCAGTTTATATACAGAAAAACAGACTGTACAGAGCTTTCCCCCAATTTCCCCCCTCCCAACTCACAAACATACAGGCAAATGCAGTGCTCAGCTAAGCAGGCACAACTGTACATCTAAAATTGTAACTGCTGTGTGTTATTTATGCGTGTGTGTGTGTGTGTGTGTGTGTGTGTGTGTGAAGAAATACTACAATGTAGATCGTCCTTTGGGGACCAAGGATTAAAAAAATATTGCAGGCAAGCTGAGAGACGCCCTTCACTGCTAGTTGTGGCTGAACGTCCATTCCACAGTGTTTCAGCCAAACTGGATTTGCTATTGAACTTGGGGCTCAAAGCTTCCGTTCAGTTGCCCCTCCTCATAGTCCATCTGACACAAGATCATGTTGTTCTTCAGGAAAAACTTGTCTCCCACGCAAAATCTAAAACACAATAAATAAACAAACCATTAGAAACTACTTTGATAAATCCCAGAGCAGGGGAATGAAAACATTCTGTGTATTTGCACAATATTTGCTTCTCATTCCTATTTGTGAAGAGAGAAAGAGAGAGAGAGAGAGAGAGCATTTACGTACATCATGTGCACTTCTCCTAATTTTTTTTTTTTTGCTTAATGACAGATTCAGATGATTCTATTTCACCTTCAGTGGTTCAATTATTTTTTTTAATCATTTAAGAAGTCTGTAAAACATAACCCACATTTGATCTACCATTAGGCTGACTGAGGAAGTCTGGCTCAGTGGGAAAAAGTGTCAGTTATTTAATTAATTGATAAATATTTATCTCCACAGAAGTGCACGCTTGTTTGCACTGCACCATTTAGCGTTTCTACCTTAGGCATCAAAGGGCCCTGTTTCTCGAGAAATAATAATCAGAGAGAGAACATTTACCCTGGAATTTTCACATCTCAAAGTCAGCTTTGTTTAATTTATTTTCCTCTAAAATGTCAGTGTTTTGGATACTTTTGACAAAATATCTTGAAATTTCCAATTTAAGACTATCTCACAAAATCTTCTTAGTTCCAGGCTGAAATCCAATTAAGAGAAGGCAGCATGAGTTCTGCCAAAGAACAGGACCACGGACAGTTCATTATGGATCAGGAAAGATTCTTACTACAAAAAATTAAGGAGTCACCTAGACATTCAAGGAGAAGTGTGATATCCACCAAGCTCAATTCCACTCAATTTCTTATTTTCCCAACAATAAACTTCAATTCTGTCCTGCACTCACCTTAATTTGGGAGTTCATGAGAGAGAAAACATTATGTAAACATTGTATATAAAACATCATATGTATTTGCATGTGCATTTATCAAAGGAAAGTATTCCTGTATTTCTTTTTATCAGTTGTACTGATCTGCCATTAGTTAATTTCCTTTTAACACTCTACATACTATTTATAGATAAATCTGTGCAATGTAGAAGTTGGTGTATTCCAATAAGTGAAAAGACCAGAGAGGTGCAGATTTGGTACATTCAGATAAGGTAGCAACTAGTCCTGCTGGCAGAGTTGATTTAGCTGGCTTTGTCTCATCTGAAAAACCTGTCTGAAAAACAGGCAGGGCAATTTTCTCAAATTATGCAAAGCAAAGGCTATGCTGACATTTCTTTTCTCATGAGAGTCATTTACAGGGTGGTATCTTCTGAAATGATTTAGAAATAGAATAACAAGAATTGGAAGGGACCTTGGAGGTCTTCTAGTCAAACCCCTTGCTTAGGCAGGAAACCCTACACCACTTCAGACAAATGGTTATCCAACATCATCTTAAAAACTTCCAGTGTTGGAGCATTCACAACTTCTGGAAGCAAGTTGTTCCACTGATTAATTGTTCTAACCATCAGGACATTTCTCCTTAGTTCTAAGTTGCTTCTTTCTCTCCTTGATTAGTTCCCACCCATTGCTTCTTGTCTAACCCTCAGGTACTTTGGAGAATAGTTTGATTCCCTCTTCTTTGTGGCAGCCCCTGCCACTGCTATCATGTCTCCCCTAGCCCTTCTTTTCATTAAACTAGACATACCCAGCAGTGGTGGGTTGCCCCCAGTTTGGACTGGTTTGTAAGAACCAGTAGTAAAACTGGCGGGAGGCTCCGCCCACTGACTCAAATGTCATCAGGAAGCTTCGGCCCCATTGCGAACCGGTAGTAAAGGTAAGTAGAACCCACCCGATACCCAGTTCCTGCAACCGTTCTTCATATGTTTTAGCCTCCAGTCCCCTAATCATCTTTGTTGCTCTTCTCTGCACTCTTTTCCAGAGTCTCAACATCTTTTTTATATCGTGGTGACCAAAATTGAATGCAGCATTCCAAATGTGGCCTTACCAAGGCATTATAAAGTGATATTAACATTTATAAACCTGATTCCTGCCCTTTGCATTTTTTGAGTAGTATTCTGCAATTGCACATTTGGAAAAGGACAGATATGGCACTGAGTTCAAATCTATGCTCATTGAAGGAATCCAAATTAACATTTTATATTTCTTCATAACACCACTCAGATATCTTTTATCAAGACTAAGCAGAGTCATTTTTTTTTAAAAAAATCTCCTTCTTAATCTCATTTATCTGTCCCATGATCACCCTCATTGCTTTGTTTATGTTGCAGGTTCTCCGAATGTTTCCTAAAAACAAAGTTCCCAAAACTGGGCCCAGTTTTTGGGAACTTGATATGGTATGACAAAAGCAGAATAAAATTTGCTTCCTACTATTTGGACACTACACTTCTACTTATGCATATGCTCTTTTTAGCAGCTCCAATTCAGAGTTGCTCATATTCATTATTCTTTTTGCATATAACTACTGCAGTGTCATGCCTGATAGTTCCTCATTCTATTTCTGTACATTTGATTTCTTTCTTTTTAAATGAAACACTTTGGGATTGTTTCTATTAAAATTCCATTCTGTTAGTTTTACCTCAATTCATTAAGCATATTTTGAATTTTATTTTTGTTTTTCTATAGTATCATCCTGTTTATGCTGTGGTCTGCCATGTCCAAATCTAATAATACCCTGATTAATAGACAATGACATGCTCTCTCAAGTAAATAAAGAACAACCTGTAAATCTATCTTATGTCATCAAGTTCTGCTAGTGGGTAGAACTATTGTTTAAAACTAAAAATTCTCCACAATACCACCATCCAATTTGACCTAAAAAGCATGATATAGTATTACTGAGGCACTGTGAGAGATTTTGTTCAAAGCTTCTGCTGTCTTGGCTCACTCCTTCTTTAAATTTTAATCTATGTCTACATAAATTCTTATGAATAGAGGCTGTTTCACATTATATATTCATTGAACGCTGCACAAACATAAGCACCCTGTCTTGGTTGCCTTCTCTAATTACTTCCTCTGACATCCAGATGTCCATTTAAATGAATGATGGGTTGGAATTAGAGTCCTCTACACTGGCTTCCTCCATTCTGGCACTTCTAGATGCATTGAAATGGCAGCTTCTAAATCTGGAAGGCACCAGATGAGGGAAGAATGCTGGATATATTGTCTCACAATACTTTAAATAAAGACATGGGGCGGCTGTGTGTGTGTGTGTATGGATTAGAAGGGCCAGTCTTGCTCATCCCATCCCCAAATTTGGTGCATCTCTAGCTAATGATTATATATTTGAGGTGATACCTAGAAAGGAGATGGCTAGGTGTGCATTTCATGGGACCAGAACCATAATTGTTTACTCTTTTAATTTGTTTTCCAGCATAAGAAGGGTGATGGATGAATGAGTGAATGGATGGATGGATGGATGGATACCAAAACTATAATTATTTAAGGAGTTGCTAATGAGTCATGCAATGGCATTTAAGTATCCCTTAAATATAAGAAACCCAAACAATATGTGTATGTGCGTGCGTGTGTGTGTGTGCATGCATGTATGTATATATATACACACACACATACATACATCAAAGTACATGGACAAATTTAGCAACACAGTATTACTTCTACTTTATATCTCATTATGCATGATTTGAATGCCTACGTTTGTCAGCGGACATGAACCCTCTGCTATCAAGCCACACACTTCATTCAAACTAGGTTATTTGTCCTAAACTCAAAGGACTCTCTTGACATTGTTGACTTTTTCTTTCAAATTGTATTTCAAATGTTATTGGATCTAAATGGAATTCAGGTAAAATTAGTTGAATAATATGATCTTCCATTCAGTTTACATTGTGCCACATAATTATTGCCTACCCAATAGTCTGGTCCTTCCACAACTCTGCGACTCACTGGGTTTATGTCCTTTTGTCAGCAATGAGGTCCATTTTTGCTACTTTATTTGTAATTCTGAAAGATACATGGAGCTTTCTTTGGAACCGTGTCAGCCTTTGACAAAAGTGTAAAATGTTTGATACACAATGTAAACTGAATGGAAGATCATATTATTCAACTAATTTTATCTGAATTTCATTTAGATCCAGTAACATTTGAAATGTAATTGGGGGGGGGGAAAGTCACTGAGGTCAAGGTAGTCCTGACCCACTGTATTCTGAATTTAGGACAAATAATATTTTGTGGAGAAAAAATGTGTGTGTCTATTGAGAGGGAGTTGGGGATCCTAATTCCCTTCAAAATAACTCAAACTGTGCAAGAATACATAATGCATGTCAACTGTATGGATTGAATGCATACATTTTTGCGCTTTGATAGATAAGTAATGCATTTCTTCTCAGTAAGAAATCAGGAACAACCATATAACCATGAGGAAATATGTTTGCTGGCAGCAGGAAACAGTAACCAAAGAATCTGAGACCTAACAAAACGCTTTGGAAAATACATTACATTTCCCTATACAATCTAGTTTTCACACTGAAAGGGATTATATGTTATTTCCATCTAAAAAATATTGATAAGGATTAAATGTTCCTATACTATCTAATATATGAACTATTTATAAAATAACTACAGGAAACATATTTTCTTTTCTCTCTTAATCCCAGTTTATATATTCTGCTGCTAACTGGGAGCTACAGTCCCCCACAATTTTGAGTTAGCTAAAGAACCTTTATAATGAAAAGAGGAGATATGGTTTCTTTTCACCTGAATGTCTAGAAAGGCTAATGCTGTTATACAATTTTCCAAATGGAGAACTGGGAAAAACACTGACAGTAACAGTTTTGTTTAAAAAAACAACAAAATTACATTTGTCAATGATGCATTATTTAGAATGAAGGAGAGTAAAGATTCAAGGAAAGAGATAGGAAGGGTAGAAATGTTAATCCCAAGGCTATCAAGAGAATAGGAGAATATCTGTTGGCTTGGAAAGGCAGGAAGAAAAAGCACAGAATTTAAACTCTGGAATAGTGACCTAGTATAGAAACTTTGCTTGTGTATTGCAGTAAGAAAACCTTCCTTGTTATATGGCTTCATTCTTATACACAATTATGTATTATTAATGTTTTGTCCCCTTGGGACA